GGGGGGGGGAAGGAGACAAGGAAACTGCAAACTTACTTGGAAAGCGAGCACAAGGGTTTAGCTGGATTACTGCACCTCCTTACCCCTGCGTGTCCATACACATTGCCTCATTCCACAGAGATTTTTTTTTTTTTTTTTAAACCTGGCGGTTAGTAAAGCAGACAAGCATGCTGGATCGGAGAACACCCTACCTGGGAAAGGTGACTTCCAGAGATGGGTAGACTGCGACTGCTCTTTCGAGCAATAAACCTGCCCTTCCCAACCATTGGACAGAGCCCAATGCTGGTAGCCTTCCATGGGAAGCAAAGTGTCATGCCTCGGTTCTGGGTGGCTACTGATCCCGGGTACCACTGAGACGTCCAAGTAGCCAGGGACCGCCTGGTAGGAGCTGGCAAAGCTGGGGTAAAAAGCAAACTCTTTGGCCCTTGAGGATAGTTCTTCGCTGGGGAGGGAACCGCTGGGTTCGGGGTACTTTTCTCCCGGGTGGTAGGAGCAAGGCTTTTGTTGTAAGTTCACGTTGTGGGAGTGGGACAGCCGGCATCCATAGTAGCTGCCTCCAAAGGGGTAGCCGTAGCTCAGGGTCGCGTTGGAGGAGGCTGGCGGCGGCGCCGGGCACTGCCGGGCAGGTTCTGGCGCGGGGATATCCGTGTAGACAGAGCCCTGGTGAGTCCCAATGGTGCTGGAATGGCGCCCCAGGACCGGGTGAGTGATTATATCCCTGCAGTGGCTCGCCGGGCAGTTCCCACTCAGCCCCTCCATGCCTGGGGTTTTATTCTGGGTATGTTCATTCGGGGTGTCCTCATAGACGTACATAAAGGTATCCGCCCAGCGTGGATGCAGGATCAGTGAAGTCGTCATATCATGGTCTGCCTGCGCTTTTTAAAACTCGACTTCCCAAAGAGAGACACCTAATTTCCCTAGCATATTGTTTACGCCGGAGCATGCGCAGAGCGGGCGCGCCGGGGCCAGTTCATTAAGAAATCCGCCGGGCCACGTGACCTGTAAATACTCCGCGATAAATCTGGCCCGGCCACGTGACCCGCCGCCAGCCCTATCTGCTGTTCCCTCCTGGCTTTGGGTAGGCAACGGGCAGCTCCCATTGGCTGCGTGGAGCAGAGAAACAGGAATCCTTAAAGGCGAAGGTTGCCACCCATTGATTGTAAAGAGGGAG